ATCAATAAAAACCCTCTAGATCACACCTTTAATTAACCCAACATCTACACAAATCCATATAATCCACCTAATATGACCTTGAATATATTATGTTATTCATACTACGTATTCATATTTAAGTACTTAAGACATGCTTCTTGATCATTACATTAATTGTGCTAATTTTCCTGATTAGGACACTTAGGAGCATAATGTTCTGTTTCATGACACAAATGACATCTATGTATACTTGATACTTCAATTCCTTTCTCTCTATTACTGCTATTTGTGTGTTTTGTATTGCTAGTAGATGTTTTATTATTTTCTTCAGTAAAAGCTTTTAAGCGCTTAGTGGCAGGTCTACCTTTACCCTGATGTGCAATTGGATCTTGAATATTATCTGCATCATATATGCGACTATCAACTAGTCTTACAATATTATTGTTATTTAATGCCTGACCTTTAATAATTACCGATTGAGCTTCAACTTTCCACTTTTTTTCCTTTCTTGCAATATAAGACAAAATAAGTTCATTCAAATTCTTTTGATCATTATCCTCCATCAAATAGTTTAGAGCCTTTTTGAAATTACCTATAAGTTTACTGTATTCTACCTTTTTTTGTACATGATGCTGAATCACAGTTTCCTAAATGTTGTTAAAATGTTTAGGAACAATTTGTTGTATATTTTTATCCTGAACTTTTAGAGATGACAATCCAATAAACGGTTCTTTAGAAATAATATCCAAATGCTCCTATGAGTTATTTTGAAACCATCTAGTTGGCATTAGCATCACGTAAAATAATGCACTTAGATTTTCTACCATCAACTTAAAATAGTGTCGACAAACAACTCCACGTGAAACTAGAAGCAAACATGTATACAAATGCATATTATCATCAAGTAAAATAATATGGGGGTGAGTCAATAGAAATCAAGCAAATTGTTTTTATTAAAATTTTTTTAAAATTTTATATACCAATAACTTAACCAAAACTTGATCAAATTTAATAAAATTTTTTTTAAACAAATTCTATAAGTTTGTAGAATTTATTTAAAAAAAATTTTATTAAATTTGATTAAGATTTTGTTGAGTTATTATTGTTTAAAGTTTTAAAAAAATTTACTTAGAAAAAATTTGCTTGATTTCTATTGACTCAACCCCATATGTCTACAAAATCATCCATCATAAATTTAATTTCTTCTAGAAATTCATTATTGCCAAACTTATAATGTATCAAAATTTGCTTAGATCTTGACAATAATAAATTTATAAATAGATCTTCATTTTCAGAGAGATTAATAATACCAGATGCTAAAGGAACTTCTGGTTTAATTGTCACTGGATCTAAATGTTCCAAATGACAAACAATTTTGGTATATGTAACTATAGTAGCTTCTGAGCAACTATTTCCTAGCTTAACTCTCTATAGATAATATTTCTAATTAACAATAAACACACCAGAAATTAGAATTAAAATATTTACTTATACATCTGCTTAATATAAATTCTATATTCTCTTGAATTATATTAATATTACGTTCCTGTTCTATAGCTTGTTGCTATATTAGTAAAAAATAAAAAAAAATAAGCGCTTTTCCTTTTAGATAGTATAAGGTATATATATATTTATACTTACTTTCTCATTTATTCCTATCCAAGCTTCTTTATAAAATTTTTAACATTGTTCCTAAAAACAGAAGAAGAAAATAACTAATCTAGTATCTTTAAGATAATATAATTATATAATATAATATATGAAATCAGCTATTTCAAAATTAAACATTTTCTATAATATAAATAGAATCCATGCTCATAGTTAGTAATAAGATACACAAGGCATAGCTCGTAATGAACCTAGTGTGAGATCCATATCAGAATGATAAATCCTCTAAACTGCACCCTTTGATGTTTATGGTGCTAGCTTTCCGTAA